GTGGCAGTGCAAGCGGACGAAACCACAGATGTGTCATGTAAATCCCAGGTAGTGGTTGTGCTGCGTTATATGACTGGGACAACAGTGAAAGAGAGATTTTGGAGTTTCATTGAAGTGAGGGACAAAACAGCACCAGGTCTGGCAAGTGTAACACAAGAGGCCATCGAGCCATTCGCTTTAAAGGAAAAATGTATTGCACAAACATACGACGGTGCAGCTGTCATGAGTGGGCATATCCGAGGCGTCCAGACACTGATCAGGGAAAAGTACCCAAACGCGCAGTTCGTGCATTGCTACGCGCACCAGCTAAATCTGACTTTGCAGCAGGTGTGCGCAACAAGAATTTCAGAGCTGAAAGTTTTTTTTGCTGATCTATCTGCCTTTGCTACATTTTTTTCTAACTCGCCAAAAAGAACCGCAGCACTCTCAGACACATCTACGCGGCGCATCCCGAGGCCAGCAGCGACTTGGTGGAATTTCAGGAGCAGAACGGTAAATGCTGTTTGGGAGAACCTGTGTGATATCAAATCTTGTCTGGATAATATCCGCACAGAACCTGGATGGGACAGCGTAACGATTCGTGAAGCGTATGGTCTCGCTATGTACCTGGAGGATGAGACATTTTTACAGTTTCTGCAGTTTTTCTACAAGCTCATGCCAGAAGTGGACATTCTGTACAACACACTGCAAAAACGCAGTGTCGATGCGACCACAGTTAATCGTGCTATGGACAGCTTCAAAGACGCTGTGAGTCGCCTGAGGGACAATGTGGATGACATCGCTCAGGAGAGAGAGGCAGCGCCGAAGAAACGGAGGAAAACAAACACTGCAGCAGTGATGAGGGAAGCGTGTGACACTGTGGTTGCTCAAGTGGAGGAGAGGTTTAGCTCCAGCGATCACCTGTTTGCTGCACAGCTTGTGGACTGCACACTTTTCACTAACTTCAGCAAATCATTTCCATGTGCTATGTTTGAAGCAGCAAATAAAATCTGGCCAATTGGAAATAAAGTCAAACTGGAAACTGAGCTGAAGTCCCTGTACAGTCACTCAGAGTTGCATGCTGGCAACACTCTGTCACTGCTGCAGCTGATCTTTGACAACAACCTACAGGATGCATTTTCAGAAACTGTGTCACTGATCAAAATTATTATCACCACACCAATGACCACAGCAGAGTCTGAGAGGAACTTTCCAACGCTAAAAAGGATAAAGACATTTACAAGAAACACCATGGGGCAGCAGAGATTGAATGCACTGGCTATGTTGTCCATTGAAAATGAATTCATTCGTGGCTTAAAGGACTTTGACAGACGGGTTATTGACAAGTTTGCCCAGATGAAAGATCGGCGTGCATCCTTTCTATTCAAAAAATGAACACTGATGAGTGCCATCACATCCTCACTTTACTGCTGCACCTTATTGCACTGTTTACTACAAACTGTGTGCACCATGTGAACTTGTATATTGTGTATATAGTAATTGTAATCATAATTCTATTTTAAATTTCATTCCTTAGAAATGTTGCTGATTGTTATTATGCCTTCTCTCCTCTTTACCTCTCTTTTCTGACTGCTGAACTGAGCCAAATAAATTTATGAAGTCTTCCTGTTCCTGACTTACATGGCATTGAAAAGAATTATGATTCTATTGAGTTGAATATTTCTGATTTATTTTTAACTATTCAAAGGTTTTATTCATGGGGTATACGTTAGGCTGTGCCAGGGCTGGACTGGGACAAAAAAACGGCCCAGGCATTTTTTCCTCCTTAGCGGCCCAGGCAACTCAAAAGGTTCAAGGAGCCATATTTGACAAAAAAAAAAAAAAAAGTGTTGTATAAGGCTTATATGAAGGTAACAGGGGCTGAAGCTGTATTAGCTACATTAGCTACCTTAGCTACGCTAGCTACATTAGCTACCTTAGCTACCTTAGCTATGTTAGCCTAATATCTAAATGACAAAGTAAAGTCTAAACACATAGAAACCATCCATGATTATCAAATGTGTATTTTCATTGCAGCGTGTCCTGAGAGAATGACGCACCACGTGACAACTCTGCTTTAACTTTAACCTTCATGCAATTGTACAAATAGAGTAAATAAATCTGCTTTTTGGCTCCGAGTTCACCTGCATCACTGTCTGCTCATATCCATCACATCACAGGATGAAGTTTGCTGGAGCTGAATGTCCTTAATGGCCTTTTCTTTCACCGTCTTTGAGAAGGTTTTTGAAGTCTGAAAATAGGTGCTCTGACTTTATGATGAATGAATCTTTCAGTGAACGGTGTTTAAAGCTTCATTGTTCCTCCTGTTGCAACAAAACTTTTCATTACAAACATGAAGCAGTCCTTCCTCAGAGACTGAAAGCAAATGTTCATTCTCATTCTTAGTCCAGTCTTATCGACTCTCTTTATCTTTGGGATCCATGCGCACACACAGTCTATAATGTTTGTTTACAGCAGCGGCCGCCTGGCACGGGCCGCGTCACAGGATATGACGCACTACGTTGACAGAAATGCTAAAATTGAATATTACTTATACAAGTTTTTATAGCATTGAAAAACGTTAATGTTTTTCCTCCTACAGAAACCACAATGAAACTAGAAATAAAATAAAGTACAATAGTCTACATTAAACAGAGTAATAAACATGCCTCAGAGTGAGGGAGGTGACACAGACAATACAGGGATGAGAATTGGTAAAAAAAGACTGAAATGCATATTGTCAGCCATTTGCTGGCTCTAAATCTGTTTAATCTGTTCACAACATTTTACTTTTGGGCTCAAACATGAACTTTTAATGCAATGGAAAATGTAGGTACCCGAGCTTTAATTTAGAGGAGAGGGGAGACGCGGACTGTTTTCTGCAGCGGTGTATTTATTGGGTGCACAAATTACGCAAAGACACGCATGGTCCTGTGCACGTTTATGGGGTTGGGTACATGGTCACGTTGCGGCTACGCGCTCACCGTGTTGTGAGCGGTTCCCGGTGAGCGGCTCCTGCGTCGCTGCATTCCCGCAGCCGCTGGATGCGGGAACACTGCGGCCGCTGAGGTGGTGGAATCCCGTTCGAGTACATACAGCAGGTGCCCCGCGGACACGCGCGCTCCCCTCAAACAGTTCTCAACGGATTTACACTTTTCACAAACATGTTTTTGGATGAGGCAGACAGACCGGCCCAAATATGGGCATCGGCCCTTCGGGCATTGCCCGGTACGCCCGATGGCCAGTCCAGCCCTGGGCTGTGCATAAAAATAGACTGTGGTCTTGAATTGGATTTATTGTGCATGTTTTGCTGTTAGTGGATGTAAAGTGCCCACTCTTGTGCCCCACTCAACTTTTCATGCCAGAGACGCCACTGCTCGTAGTGTGAAAAACATATGTATTTAAGTATCTCACGAAAAAAGTAAAATGAACTGAACTTTGAACTAGTTCAGAATTAAAAATGTGAACTTTGAACGTGAACTGTTCACTTTGAGCATGTATGAACTGAACTTGAACTAGTTCAGAAAAGTTGTGAACTGGCACAACACTGTTAGTTTCGCGTCCAAATGTATTAATTTAAACATTAGAATATATTCTAATATTTAATTATAATTTATTATACAGCTCCTCCCAGCAGCAGCACTCCATTGACTTGAATGCAATTCTTCCGATAATTTTTTCTTGATAACAGAACTCTCAAACCAATAATGAGGCTGTTTTCACAGCCCCTGTTTGTAATTCAGGTGTGTGAAATACTGCCATTACTCCGCAAGTACAACAAGCTATCAGCGCCTGTCACTACATTGTGCAGTTTTTCTGCACACTTGTCTGTGTAGAGAAGCTAGCGGAGCTAGCCATCAATCAATGAACACCGTTAAACGTTAATCGGACAATACAGTATACATATACATCCTTAACATACATGCACGGACGATTTCAGAATTTGCTGTCAACGTTTTCATGAGAAAAATACTGTTTTAAAGTGACAAAAAGCGATCGCGAAAAACCCGGAAGTTACCATGAAACAGCTAGCTAGCTTAGCTGTTACCTGCCTAGCACGTCCCTGTGAAACCTTTGGGAGCTAACTATTTTATTTGCAGTCATTAAATACATTTCGAATTATAAGGGCTGTCTAATATTTATTCGAAAAAAAAATAAAAAAAATAATAATATATATATTATATTATATATATATATATATATATATATATAATTTTTTATTTATTTATTTATTTATTTTAGAATTATATTTGAATTTTGAAGTCGAAGCCCTGGTGTTAAGCAGCGCTGTAGAGGCTAGAGGACGCAGGCTGTTCGCTGCTCGTTCTGTGAGTGGAGGAGAACAAACGGCCTGCTAAGACTCTACTCAGCACTTTTCACTGCCTGAATTTCATACACAGTGGAATCAATGCCCTCAAGTTTTCAATAAAATTATGTATTATGATACAACTTGTATGTAGTAAAAAGCATTTTTATGAACTACTTAGAAAAAAAATCAGGTATAGCTTCTTTAATTATGTTCAACACATTCAAAATAGTTCAATCACATGGCAATAACAATGTTTGAACTTAATTAACTCCAATTAAACGTTATTAATTACAACCCCAAAATTAACAATTGTAACTACATTGAAAAGAAAAGTATGAATTATATTTGACAACCCCTATGTTTCATTTCTTAGAGTTCAATTAACTTAACTCATTTAGCTCAGTAACCGTTTGTGTTACACTCACCATTATGGGATTAAAAAATTATGTGGTTTAGCGATCTCTCTGATCCATATGTTTATATTTTGAAACTCCAGACACGAGCCATATAAGGATTGATCAATCAGATGTCATTCGCGGGGCAATGGCAAGGAAATGGCAAGGACTAGAACTTTGGACTTTGCAACCATCTTAGCAACACGTCTATCCAGAAGCCAATATTGTCAAACCAAATTAAACAACAATTTCTCACAGGATAAAAGGAAATACCTTTGCATTTGTCACATGTGAATGAAGTGTTGTGTGTTTTGCAGGGGAATCGCTTCAACAAGAACTCGGACCGCGCACTGCTCATCACTGATAAACACATTTACAAACTGGAGCCGAGGAAACAGTTCAAGACGCTCAAAAGGACGTCCCTGGACGTGGTCAGCTGCAATTTTACTATTAACACACTAAATACCACACGTTTTAACTAATGATCTGGACATGGAACAAGACTGTAGTTTAAAAAATAGGGGTTGTTCTTCTCTCTACTGGGGGGTATAGTCATGTAGTGGAGGACTCAATTACATGACATTTTATTCAGTTTGTATGAAAACTAGGGAAGGGACGCGACAAATAATAATAGTCATAGGCTTTGTAATTCATCGCATATAAATATTTGACCTGAGAACAGTGAGATTTTTTGTTCCAAATGGATTTTTAGTGTACCATTGAATAATGACTAAATACATAAGGCTTAAGAACCAAAATATTTATTTATTTCATTCAACTAAGTCCATCAAGTGTAACAATAGCATATTTAGAAATATAATACATTTTTCAGGCCCTTATCTTCTACCACTCAAAGTGGCCTACAGTCAAGTGCAATCCAGTGAGCCAGGCTTACAGCAGTTATCTGCTTTAAAGACCTTATGCAGGGTTTTTTTTATTTTTATTATGGATATCAAAATTGCATGACAGGTAATCAATCGATCTGAATTAGATTCTACCAAAAAAAAATCCTATATTTTATAAAAAGAATGTGTTTTTAATTAATTTAAGTTGTCTATTCCTCTAACCTGTGTGTGATGTCATAGCGGGTAACTCCCATACATTGAAAGCCATGGATCTATACCACAGATACTCTCCACTGATGTCAGTGGAGATACATCTCCACTGATGTCCGACACAATACTGCACTCTACAGGTGTCAATTGCTCATTACACATATAATGCCGTTCTGAAAGTGAAAATGTGACTGAGGTGAGAATTGACCCCAAGTTGCTGGGGTGCCAGTGCCTTGACACAACCACTGGACTATCGTTACGCCAATGGGGAGGTATATACTAGTAGTAGTATTATATTCGCTGTACACCACCTTGTTATCTTAAAATACAAAATTGTAAACAACTTACAGCGTTGAAACGTACCCGCTCTGACGTCACCAAGGGCTGTGCATTTTTTTCGTCTCTAAGGGCGTTGCTATGGGGTTATTTCGATTTGGGAGGATCAGAAAAAATTGATTTTGAAACCTTTAGGAGTTCTCTTCTAATATAAAAAGTAGGGCTGTCCAAAATAGCGCGTTATTAACGCGTTAACGCAAATCAATATTAACGCCGTCATTTTTTTTATCGCGCGATAATTTTTTACTTTTTATTGCAGACAAACACATAGAAACAAAGAAAAGGACTAGTTCAGATACATTGTAGACAGAGATTACAAACAATATGTAGTTGGAGATACAGGGGGCCAAAGAAGAAACCCAGAAGGGCACATAGGAGGGGAGGGACATGAAGTGGGAGATGGGGGGAGGGGTTAATAAAAAAGGCAATACAAGCAAACAGTATACAGTCATAGATATACCGAAGGTAAACAGAGAAACAGCATAGAGTATTTACATGAACAAATTTACAAAATATTTACAGATTGTTTATCATCATCATAATGACACCATGATGTTTCTATACAGTCTATGGTCTATACCCACACATACACACACACACCCACACACACACATTGAAGGGGCTTTTTGTTACCAATTATTTATTTTGTCATCCATTTATTGATGATTTTGCATCAAATGTTAGTGTGTAATATAACACTACACATTGTTTTCAATAAAAAAAGCAATTGCACACAGCACGCAAATGTGTGACTAATTTGCGATTAATCGCGAGTTAACTATGAAATTCATGCGATTAATCGCGATTAAATATTTTAATCGTTGGACAGCACTAATAAAAAGGTATTAAAAGTGTATTTCTAAATCAATCAAACCTTGCATAAGATCTTTAAGGCCCCGTCCCAATTCTCACCCTTGCCCTTAAGGGTGAGTGCCCTCACCAGTAAAGTGCCTTCCCAGTGGTGAGTGCACTCACAACATTCTCCCTAAGAATTGGGAGATCCCTGGATCTAGGCGACAATATGCAAATTACGCAGCAGACATGTTCCACGTCACACACATTCTCAAAGTGTCTAATTTCACCACATATAAGCTCTGACACACGTATGACTTTATGAAACACAGTATTTATGAAAATGAGAAGTTTTTAATTCTATTTCATATGAAGTTTTCCTATAATTAGGTACAGAACTGCTGCACATCACGCACTCAGACAGACGCACACAGACACACATGTACACACATAGAGGCAGACACACACAGACAGATGCATGTACATATGCGGGCACGTGCAAAATTTAGGGCAAGTGTGCTTTTTAAGGGCAAGGGTGAGAATTGGGACGGGGTTAGTCTTCTGTGCGGATTTCCAAACACAACCATCCTCTCATTGACCCTTTGTTAGTTTTTATAACATTTCCCTTCCACGGAGCTTACCAATGCGGTCCGCTTATTCCTACATGTTGACTGTGCTTTGGCTAGTTGGTCCTCCAGTGTAACGGTACTGGTCTGCCAAAACGCTTTACCATTAGAAAGGTTCTGTGGTTAAAAAAAAAAAAATAACGGGCTACAATGCGTAAAAATAATTGTACGCGTTTTTGGTGTGTAATTTCTTCATCTTAATTCCAGGCTCTAATAAAAACACATCTCAGAAGCTAAGCAGAGTAGGGCCAGCAACCAAATAGCCAATTACTAATTGGTCAGTTGTTGTAGCTCGTCTGGCTTTACAAAGACATTTTAAAAAAATACAGCAGTTCAGATCTTGGAACCATCATGGCGGATTCCAGGTCACATAAGCAAGCAACTAAATCCTGTTTACAATGCGTGTTAACAATGTAGATTGATAACTTTATTTCTCCATTATTTCTTTCTTTTCCCTCCCTATGAGCCTATGGAAGGAGGTCCGAGGTCAAGTTTGTCGTAGAGCCACGAAAATCGGTGCACATGTTCCTCAACTCAAATTATGAAAAAAAGTTATTCTGGCCACCCCACCCATTGATGAAAATGAAAAATTTCATTTTCAACTGCTCCTCAGCCGTTACACCGACTTGCCCCAAAATCGCTCCACATCGTCTAAACACATGTACCATCAATAGTTGATCATAGAATTTTTGATCAGTTAAACATTGTTTGAGCAGCTGAGCGGCAAAATGTGACTTTTTTTTCAATTTTTGACAATAGCAAATTTGCTCCAGTTTGCACAAACAAAGTCCGATTGGCACAACATTTTAATCTATTGTTCAACTCCAGGCTCATTTGAAAGTGAAATAATTGAAATTGGCTCATTAGCGCTCCCTACAGACTATATCAAAGTTATACATGTGGATAATCCAATTCAGTTTTTTCAAAATGATTGACATTTTGCACATTATTCACATTTGGCCTCTTGATTAAAAAAATCAATGAGACCCAAGATTTTTTACCCTGTTGCCGTGGCGATGACAAATGCTATTCTATGTCAATGGCAAAATTGGGAAATGCACACTTCACACAAACATCAAACCAGCCTCGGCCGTTTTGCCAATTCGGGCCATATATATATATGAACACACTCACAGATTATCATGTTTGCACATACAAAGTCTGATTTGCACTAAACTTGACTAGGTTGTTATACTCCTAGGCCACCACAATATAAATGACATTTCAGAATTAGCGCCCCCTACAGAGCGAGCCAAAGTTTTACATGGGGAGCCAAATATGAAGTTCTTATTGAGACAAAAAAACTAATCATATTCATAACAATTTTACAATCATTGTTTTATGGCTGCAAGAACAAAGTAAATGGCGCATTATCGCCACCTCTTTTGCGCGGTGCGGCAAGGGCCCTTTTCACTCAGTTTGCGGCTTTAATTCAGTCTAGCCCTGTTCCGCTCTGTGCAGTCCTGAGCAGAAGCCTGCTCACTCCGAAGGACCTCAGCCTCCTCAGAAGGTGGAGGTGACTTTGGCCCTTCTTGTACAGGGCGCTGGTGATATGATCTATCTTATCTTTTATGATCTGAAAACATTCTATGGGATAAAAATAAGAAAATCAAAGAAGCATCTCTATTTGGAATAATATGAAATAATACATGGATACATATAAGGCCTTAAAATCCAAAAACTTCTCACTTTGCCACCACCAGAGTTGCCATATTGGGGTAGACTAACCACGCACTCCATTACGGGATGCATCAAAAGGTGTTTACTAGATACCAAAAAAAACATATTTCACTAACTATTAATAAGGTTATCATTAATTTATATACCACATTTCACAAAACAAGGGTCAACAAAATGTTTAACCATTTGGTGTAATTTCCGATTATACAAGAACAACTCACTACAAAATAGTTGTCTTGTGGAAAATATTACCCTGGTCTTACCATGTGTAAACTCTTGGTCCATGATTATTTCCTACATGTACGTCTGGGTTTGATCTAGTGGCTAGCAGTTTCCTCGGTGAACCCCTACGACCAATCAGGAGAGCGGGGAAGGCGGGCGTTGTAGGTCGGTGACGGTGAGTCAGAGTTTGTGCTTAATTAGCTGGGTGTAGGTTTGGAAATGGCGCAGGAATGCATGATGCTTTGCACAAAATCGCGTGTGTGAGCTCTCATGCAAGTGCACAGCGGGGCACGGCGCGTCCTGATCCAATCAGAGCTGTTCATCAGAGCGGAGTTAGAGCGCGAAACAATTGAGCAGAGTTTTGGTGCAATAAAGTTGGATTTAAGAAGAAAAAAAATTAGGATGACAAAACGACACTAAAATTTCTGAAATCTGACCTTTATGAACGTTGTTCTCTGTCAACTGAGGTCGAGCGTTTTATGTTGAGATCTATGGACATTTTGTCAGAGTAGCGGGTGACTTTAGTCTGCCACGGACGCCCCCTCGTGCCTATGGGCTGGGACAGATAGAGATAGTTATTACCCTATTCCAGTTATTATTATAGATCTTATGTAAATACCTCACTCACTCGGGCTCATTACATACGTCACAGTAAGGAGTTAAACCGTCCCACCTGTTTACAGAGTCAAGGGAGCAATCCAGACTTAGTACGAATGAAATGAGTATGATGGTTTTGTAAGACTAGGTGAAATACAAACTTTGATAGCTTTCATGTGCAAGCTTTAAAACAGAGTTTTCAAAGCTATGGTCCATTTAAAAACATTCACCCAAACATCACTCAGACTCACAATAGTTCACATTTTTTCCTATTTAATGCCAACCGTGTGTTATTTAATCTTTATTAACTTCCACAAATCTAAAACAGAAGCGTCTCACTCCTGCGCTGTTGTGTGTGTGTTCTGGTGAAATAAGTTCCAGACAGCCGACAACGAGTATGTTAGGAGAATTAATGGCATGACGCCGGTCGGCTCTGTACGCTCCAACAAGCCCACCAGTTTGGGACACCAGCCGTCTAGACATGAGGAAAGACTACAACCGGCAGATAGACGGTGACCATGTAAGGACCATGTGATGACCATGTGATGACAGTGTGTAATTATGTCACCCCCACCGTCAATCATGCTTTTTGTTCTTATGTCCAAAATGCTATGAGGTTTGGTTTTTAAAGAATTGGTAATTATTAATATTATTTTTGTTTTTCTTTTGCATTTTGTAACTTTCACACGGGGGAAACATTATTTTTTTTTTTTATATATCAATTTGATTTTAGTTTTTCGATGCAGTTTAGATAACACTGTATTTGTTGGGAATTATTTAAGTTTCAAGATGTTTATTTCCAAAACCACTTAAATTGGAGAACGTATCGGCAATGGGGCATGGTTTTCACAACAAGAGGTCCTGGCTTCGATTCCTCCTCCAACGTTTCTGGTGGGTTCTGCGTAGGGTTCCTCAGGGTGCTACGGTTTCCCCTACCACTACAAAAATAAGTACAATAGGTCTGATGTGCCTCTCACTTGTCTGTGAAAGGGCGTAATATAAATAAAGATGCTTACTTTCTTGTTGCTAATAAAGCTGAGCTGAACGGGAAGCAGCCATGAGGTGCCCCCAAAAATTATTTAAGAGCTGATATACATTATCTTTTAGCCAACTCAGCCCTTTATAGATCAGTTTTAGAGCCAGAAACAGCCGATACTCAGTCAAGACAGTCTTTTAGTCCTTGGATGTCGGCACTGGACTATTCTGGTGAGCTAAAGTGGCCCCCTTACTAAAATGTTTGGCTTATGTATGAAAACGCCTACGTTAGTATTTTAAAGCAAATTTTCAATCACTCATGTGTCAATGTCAGCTATACAATTAGAGTTGATATTGAGAAAAAAAAAGTGTCCATTTACATTTCTTGTGACTTTAAAATAACAAAACACTGTATATAAGTGTTAAGCCTTTTGCCCGCTGAGATATGGAGCCACAATTACAGCATGAAGTCCCAGTGCATCCAGCGTCCCAAATCATGGAGAAACACTGCCCGTCCCGAACAACAAAGACTCACCAAATCACGGTCGGGCTAAAAGTCACCTTAAAATACACACATCCGTCAACACCAGGAATGCTACGGAAAATCAACAGCGGGTGTCGGAATCCGTGCAAAGCCTCTGTCTTCCATTCTTATTTCTGCTGTTGCTTCCTGAGAGCTGAGTAGCGAGTCCCCATCCGCAGATGAAGGTTCGATTTGGGGAAAACTAAAGTGAGATGGTCGGGATTTGCTTTAAGGTGGACTGACGAGTGAAAGCAATAACACAATTATACACAATGTAGGTTTTTGTAAGGGATTTTTCCATCATAAAAAAGAACTTGAAACATAAAGATGGATTGTGTGAAGGCTAACATGCAAATTGCTTTGGAATTGCTGTTTACTCCTATCATTAAAGCCCTGATATATATATGATAAATGCTGTATGGTACTGTGAGTTTAGGGACATCAACAAACTTGAGTGTCCATGAACAAAATCATATACATTTATTGCATATTTAGCCTTTTAGTATGTAAGACAAGTACCCATCTATTCTCAGTAGGTATTCAGTGTTTTCCCAAAAATTCAAAGTGAATAATCTTCCACTATCTTTTACTTTTGTTAAATTGCTCAATAATAATTTGGCAATACCTGAAATAGCTTTAAAAATAAAATATATAAATCTATTGATTAAAATTGGATCACAGTATTTGTCCTTCATTCATTTTTAAACCCTTTATAGTCCATTTCTGGGGCGGGGGTGGAATGAGAGCTGCACCATTGTCATAGCACCATGTACCACAGGAAGTTGGCTGCTAATCAGTGGATGTCACAGTCTTGGCGTTTCAACAGTAGCTTCAGGCCATCTGGGTTATGTGTCTTGCACAGGGACACAAACATTTGTGGGAGCAGTTGGAGTAGGTCCGTGATGGGCTCGAAACCCGCTTAAATGGACAAGTGACTCGCCATATGGGACAAGTTCGAAAATCAAGGACAGACTAAGTTGAGTGCTTTAATTGCAGTTTCAGCTCTTTCAGACAGATCATCTTTCTTCAGGATATGTACTTTAAAGACAAATCTTTGTCACCACGTTCACATCTCAAAAGATGAGACTAGATTCAAAGAACTGGTGCAAAAAACAAAGACATGAACTGATGTTATGTTGTGTTTTCCACAGGGGGGGAGGAAAGGCTATTGTTCCCATGAGCAGTTGGTGGGAGCTCGATTCTCACCCCTCAATCCAGTAATGAACTAATGAAGGAAAAATGAATGAATGAATGAATGTTGATCTGGTTATGAAGTGTGAAGGTCTTGTGTGAGTGCGTGCTTAATATATAATTTGGACACATCGTAGTATAACTCAAATAAATCCTGCATCCAGACATTGATCCAGATCAAAAGACAAAAATACGAATTTGACCCCCAAAAGTTAATGACTAATAAATATTAGGTCTATTGAAACTTAGTTGGCAGAAAAATAGATTTACAGGGTCGTAAAATTATAAAATTTATTTATGTAATATTTGGCTTTATGTTTTGGATCATTGTCCTGTTGGAAGATAAATCTCCGTCCCAGTCTCAGGTCTTTTGCAGACTCCAACAGGTTTTCTTCCAGAATGGTCCTGTATTTAGCTCCATCCATCTTCCCATCAATATTAGCCATCTTCCCTGTCCCTGCTGAAGAAAAGCAGGCCCAAACCATGATGCTGCCACCACCATGTTTGACAGTGGGGATGGTGTGTTCAGGGTGATGAGCTGTGTTGCTTTTAAGCCAAACATATTGTTTTGCATTGTGGCCAAAAAGTTCGATTTTGGTTTCATCTGATCAGAGCATCTTCTTCTACATGTTTGGTGTTTCTCCCAGGTGGCTTGTGGCAAACTTTAAACGAGAAATGGCTTTCTCTTCTTGCCACTCTTCCATAAAGGCCAGATTTGTGCAGTGCACGACTGATTGTTGTCCTATGGACAGACTCTCCCACCTCAGCTGTAGTTATCTACAGTTCATCCAGAGTGATCATGGGCCTCTTGGCTGCATCTCTGATCAGTCTTCTCCTTGTTTGAGATGAAAGTTTGGAGGGACGGCCGGGTCTTGGTAGATTTGCAGTGGTCTGATACTCCTTCCATTTCAATATAATTGCTTGCACAGTGCTCCTTGAGATGTTTAAAGCTTGGGAAATCTTTTTGTATCCAAATCCGGCTTTAAACTTCTCCACAACAGTATCTCGGACCTGCCTGGTGTGTTCCTTTGTCTTCATGGTTCTCTCTGCGCTTTAAACAGAACCCTGAGACTATCAAAGTGCAGGTGCATTTATACGGAGACTTGATTACACACAGGTGCATTCTATTTATCATCATCAGTCATTTAGGACAACATTGGATCATTCAAAGATCCTCACTGAACTTCTGGAGTGAGTTTGCTGCACTGAAAGTAAAGGGGCCGAATAATATTGCACGCCCCACTTTTCAGTTTTTTATTTGTTAAAAAAGTTTAAATTATCCAATAAATTTCGTTCCACTTCACGATTGTGTCACTGGCCTCCTCCATCTACACCTGCGGACTGCCCTGCCCGACCCGCCTGGGAATGCTTCAGTCCTGCACCGGACCTGTCCATGTTCAGCGGCCACTGGTCCACGTTCTGTAGCTAGCTTAGGTCCTAGATCATTAGCCTGTCCGTCCGGAGGAGCGGATCCCTTTCTCAAATGGGTCTCCCTCCCTGTGGGTTTCCTTAGTTCTCCCCAAGGTTTCTCATTTTTTCCCACTGGGTTTTTTAAGAGTTTTTCCTTGTCAATGCAGGACGGTCTTGTTGGACAGTTAGTCTCCAACAGAAAGGATTGGTGATGATCCAGGACACTTTAGCATTCTACAACATGTATGGACATTTTCTTCTGTGTGTGCTTTATATTTTTCATGATTTTTAACTGTTGATTCTCTGATCTGTGTTGGTGATTTCAATGGTTTTGTTAAGTCCTCTGAGATGACTTCTATTGTGACCTAGGGCTATACAAGAATAAATTGTATTGTATTGTATTGTTAATTGTAGTACATATAATCTAATTATTTGGACATTAATGTGTCAATTTCAACAGTACTTTAGAAAATGGCTTCTTTTTAGAGTTGTAGTGGCACCTGTTGAAATACTGAACTACGATTCATGAACACAACCCTTGACTTGCTGTGTTCCTCTAGAGCAGTGGTTCCCAAAGTGGGGGTCCGGATGAACCGCATAAAGTAACAGCAGAAAGCGGCCGCCCAGTTTTAATGTGCAGACCTCTTTACCGCTGACTGCGAAAAGCCGGGCCTCTTTACCGCAGTCAGAGAACAGTGAGGGCGAGCCGCAAGAAATGCGCTCCACCTCTGCTAAGAAGGGAGCCCACCAAGCCCATCACTGTGTTACTACATGAGTGAAAATACGCAAGCCTCCTTTTCTGGGCTGGACAGCGCAGCTCAGTAGTGGCGTGAGTCTCTATAAAGCGTTACTCTGTATCAAGGAAATACTGCTCATTTCATGTGACGGGAAGGACTGTTGAGGTGGGGGTCGCGGGGGAGCAGCGCACTTATTATGGGAGTCGCGGGCTAAAAACTTTGGGAACCCCTGCTCTAGAGGAGCTCTATGGGTTCTACCTCATGTCAAGTGGAGCCCAGGAAGGCTCCTCTTGACCCGACCAAAGAGAGAGGGGAGCTGTTGTACATGTGGTAGACAAAACCGGAACATCCAGAGGTGTCTGAACAGTGGCCAAACATATATGCAAGTTTATTTGTATCGCACATGCACAAAATGGCACATGGGCGAAGGTGTCAAGGTGCCCGCAGGTAAAATACGACCCAACATATCCTTTTAGTGACCCCAGAAAGGATTTATGACTAACTTGCTGCATCAATGGTAAGGCCCTGACTCCACCGGCTGTGTAAAACGCACTACGTGTCCGTCCAACCGTGTCCGTTTCATCTCTGTTTCTGTTTTCTCCATGAGGGTAAATGGAAGTGGCTCCACTGCCCGCAACATGCGTCCGTATGACGCACGTAGGGAGCTAACCTGGCAAGAG